CAGGTCGAGGCTGCAGTGGCCGGGAGCGGCCACTGCACTACAGTCTGGGCGACAGAGTGAGACTCCAATTCAAAAAAAGAATACTCAGCTGGCTGATTGTATTCCCAAATCCTTTTGAACCAAGCTCACTTTTCTCTCCCATCTATCATGGGCAGTGATAGTCTCCACATGGCCTCCTGTTGTTGATTTTATGTGCCAGGAAGAAAAACAAAGAACTGTATCTTGTCTTCCCTACAGGGTCTCAAAGCCCTTAAGGAAGCAAAGTTCCAGTTTCCTCACAGCTTCCTGGGATGATACTGACAGGCTGATGCAGGGCTCTCTTAACTGTTTTGCAGGCTTTGTGCCCATCTGCTGTCTGGGGCTATCTCAGATCGGCCGCATGAATCTCGGGACAGATGCCAGTACCTTCAAGTTTTATACCATGTGTGGCCTCCAAGAGGGCTTTGAGCCTTTTGCTGTCAACATGAACCGAGATGTTGCAATGTGGTTCAGCAAGCGCCTCCCGACGTTTGTCAATGTGCCAAAGGATCATCCACACATAGAGGTAACATGCATCGTGGGGACCTGGCAGAGCAGGTGGGCCAAGGCACTAAGCTCCTGCTAAGTATCCCATCCACAAGCAGCTGCTTACCTAAGTCTATTCCCTGGCAGCTCACCAGCCTTCTCCCTCAGAGTTTCAGCTGCAGGCTCCTTAATTGGGGAAGCTCAGTTTCTTATGAGAGAAAACAGCCTTACATATACAACCTTGCAGATAGATTGACCCCCAAATCTCTGGGCCACTGTATTTTCTTCATATGTCCCTATACTGGTATTGTCAAAGTAACACAGTAGCCAGAGACCTTAAACATTGCTTTGTTTTGTTATAAAAAAAAAAAAAATTCAAGCCAGGTGTGGTGGCTCATGCCTGTAGTCCCAGCTTCTCAGGAACCCAGGAGTTCAAAGCTACAGTGAGGTATGATCATGCCATTGCTTTCCAGCCTGGGTGACAGTATGAGACCCCATCTCTTTAAAAAGTTAAAAAATAAATTAAAAAATATTAACTAACAATTAAAAAGTTCCATAGTTCAAGGTTTTATGTCCTGAACATGTATGTTCTTTTACACTTATAATTTCATGTCTTTAGACCCTGTTTAATTTCTTTGGTGCTGTTTCCAGAATTTTAAGCTGAGGTTTGGTAGTAGATTATGACTCTGTCACCTTGTAGGGGGAGCAGAGAGGGGCCAAAGATTGTAAGGAGCCTAATTTGGGTTATGGTTCCACATCTACTTGCTTGTGCTTTGGCATGCAACCTTGGTTTTTCCGTGGTAGGTGTGGGCAGGGAGATTGTTGATGGAAAGCCAAACAGATCAGTTCCATTACAGTATTAGTCGAGGTAGGTTCATTGGCTTTCCTCAACCTCACTATAAGTTCCTTAACACACCCTCCAGTCTCAATTCAACAAGCATCAACTCTTAATTCCCCCACCCTCCCCCCACAGTCTTAAATAGTAGAGACTTTTCTTTCTCTGTGTCCTCCGTGACCATTTCTTTTAAAAGATGACTGTTAAACTTTTGGAGGTCATGAACCCCTTTGACAAACTGATGGGATCTAGAGATTCTCCACTTAGAAAAAATATACACGCCACACACAAATATTTAAAAGCATTCTCATGGACTCCAAGATGGAACTGTTCTCAAGAGAGCACAGGAGAGACTCAGATTATAAGAAAATTACTATTATGAGTCTCAGTTTATTTCCTCTATAGCTTCCACCTACCCACACACACACATTGCAAAAATCCAGTTTTGATCTTTCCTGTCCCAATCTTGTCCCCTGCAATGCTTATGCCCAGATACTACAAATTGCCCCAGTATGGAAAGGAGGCTCCAGGAACCTCAGCCCTCAGGCAGAGATGGGCACTTGGCTGGGTGGGGTGGGAGACCTCCTTGATACTGAACATCCTTCCTGAGCTTTGGGCTTCCTGGTGTCCCTTGCCTTAGATGTTCTCATGCCTGGTAACAAGAAAAATCTTTAGAAAGATTCTTTTCTTTACCACATGTCCTCTGACCTAAAAGGTCAGCTTCTATGAACAATATACTGCAAAGCCCAAATGCCATTGCCCTCTCTGGCATTTATTCTCCAACCCTGGCCTTGCAGAGAACCCAGTGGGCATGTTTTTAAACCTCTAATTTCTCTACGAGTTGGTCTGTTATTTTCTATAGGATAAGGTGTAACTAATGATGAGAGTCATCGTATGGTTATCCCTGGTGGCAACTTACTTTTATAGTGCGTGGAATGCCTTGCCATATGCTGTAGGTGTCCATGAGTGGAGGAGGGACACAGTCAAGGTCAAGGACAAGGGCACCCTTCGGTATGTCAGGGTAAGGACTCAAGTACTCATTGTGTTTCCAGGTGGTGCGGATTGATGGCACCATGGACAGCCCTCCCTGCCTCAAGGTGACTCACAAGACATTTGGCACACAGAACAGCAATGCCGATATGATCTATTGCCGCCTGAGCATGCCTGTCGAGTGCCACTCCTCCTTCAGCCACAGCCCCTGTCTGGACAGTGATGCTTTCCAGAAAAGGTGAGGGCAAAGCCTCTGGTTCTCAGATGCACTCATTGTGTCTGCTGTAAAATTGACTTTCTTTGTTGCTTGTTTTTTTATTCTGCCTCAGCACAGGAACTCCATGGACAGGGTTCTCTCTGCTTTCAGCCAGATAAAGAAGTTAGAATGTGTGTGCACACATGTGTATAAAGTGCCCATGTGTGTTTGTACAGTGCACAATTAAGGAGCCACTCATGCTCAACAAACTCACGTCCAGTGAAAGTTTTACTCTTGAGATCTCTGAGTCCCTAGCTTCATTTCTGCCCAGTTCCTGTGTTTTTGGAGTAAAAGGAATGCGAGTGTAGGAGAGGGTGCCATTATTGTTGCTTTTGTGTGAAGTTAGAAGTTTCTGGAGGCAGATACTGCCTTCTCTGCATAACTATGAGCATAGTACAACCCTGAAGCTGTGTGACTCATGAGTGATATGACTTCTTCCTTCCTGATAAAGAATATATTCCTTGCTGTCTTCTTTCATCTGATGTCTATTTTTAACCACTGATGTGTGTCTGCCGTCTAGAGCTGTCTTGTTCAGGTGTCCTCCAGAGTTTCACCATCAACCAAGCTATTAAACAAGCACAACTGCTTGAGAGAATAGGATTAGCTATTCAGAGGCATCCCTACCTGTATTACTGCAACCCCCCATACCCCTCTGATTTCTAACTTACCATCTGGGCTAAGGGACAAGAATTGGAAGTCATAGCTCTACAGTGTGGTGGCAGCTTGCAAGTGAATAAGTCCCAAGACCAGTTGCAATCACTCGTGTTTAGGAAACAGGCAGTTTCCTAAACTCACCTTGATTGTAAAAGGTAGAGCAATCGCCTGTCAGAACTGTGGGATTCTCTATACAGCTGAATAACTAAAACATGGATTATCTTCCCCCCAGGAAACAGATGCAAGAAATACTCTCTCATACAACAACAGTAAGTAAATGTGCTCAATTATGGTTTTAATTATTTGATTCTTTGTTGTGCCGGGTAATATGCCCCTTACAGCAAAGATCTGTCTAGAGATCCTCTTTAATTGCCAATTATTCTGTCTTTTAATATCCATCTTGATGCTTCCAGAATACGTCTGTGGCATCTCTCAAATGGGGGAAAGAAAAATAGTTACTCGGTGCCGAGTAGAAGCTCTACCTGGAGCTCCTAATTGGACGTCACTGTGCACTTGTTGCCCATCTGCCATCAGGGACTCAACACTGTCTTTCAGATGGAAATGAGTATCGGTGGGAGGGCTCTCAATTAAATCCTTTTGTTTGCTCTTTTGTGTAAACTTCTCTGAGTCAGCTCCCCCATGTCTCTATGCAGTGCCAGAAGTGATGTTGAAAGCAGTCAAATGAGAAGATGGAGCAGGAATCCAGCCCAGAAAATGAAGGCTTCTCCTGGTCTCTTAAGCTAGATAGTAATCAGAAAGTAACATTTTCTAATTTCCTTCTTTCTCTCATTCTCCTTTAGCACCTGACCAAAAAAAAAAAAAAAAAAAAAAAGTCTATGGAAGAAATGTGTATCAGCCCTTCTGTAAAGTCATACTACAATCCTGAGTTCATAGGTTAACCGTCTTCAGGAATAAGATTTTTACAGCAAATCACATATTTAGTATGTGCAGGACACTGTGCTTAGCACATTGTGTCACCTTCCCATTTAATCTCCATTTAATTTGATTAAAATTAATTTAATTAGCAACCCCTTGACTGGATAATATAATTCACAATATTATACACAAAGAGAGCAAATGACTTGTCCAGGGTCACATGGCACATACCTGATTCGAGTCCAGGTTTGTCTGGCTGGCCCTTTTTTCTTCTAGTCAAGTAAATTTGACAGCCTACAAATAAGAACTACTTTATTAAGAATAGATCTGTTCAGTTTCATAAAGAAAATGATGAGGCAGCCACCTACCTCACTGCTGAGGCTATTATTGTAACACAGTGATAATCTCACGAAATGAATGACCCCTGCCAAGAGCTGCTATACTTTTCAACACTGCCTATGGTTGGCCGTGACTACCACACAAAGTACTTTTGGCCAGAACATGGGCTCTTTCTTTTGCAACTTCTTTCAAGACTTTCAAAAAACAAATCCTTGGACCTCCCTGTAGAAGCAGAAAGTGTAACAGGAATGCCATGACCCTTGACCACCCTGTCTCTGAGGCAAAGACTGTGCCCAGCTCTCCCCTACAGCCCATGGCTGCCCTTGTTCCCAGGAGAGGGTCAGAGTTCTGTGCTGACCACTCTGAACAGCTACCACTGATTCCATCCACAGCATCTCCTGATTTCAGCACCAGCATCTTTTGGGTAAAGGGTGATAGATTAAGCACGTGCTTCTCCAGGTGCTAGAACGAAACAGAAAGGGAAAAATTAGGAAGCCAAAGTCTCTATTCAGCCTTTCTTCCAGGTCTAGAGTATAGTCAGTCTCTACAACAGCGTGTCCTTACTTTTCCAGAAAAAAGGGCTAAGTGGGCTATTGTGGTATTTCTGCTTCTGGGGACCCCTAGCTAGAGGCCATTGACTCCCTCTGCGGTCTCTCCACAGCAATGCTACTATGCCATCCGCATCTTTGCCGGACAGGACCCTTCCTGCGTCTGGGTTGGATGGGTGACCCCAGACTATCACTTGTACAGTGAAAAGTTTGACCTGAATAAAAACTGCACAGTGACTGTCACCCTGGGGGATGAAAGAGGCCGGGTCCATGAAAGGTAAGGGGTGTCCCAAGAGGTATGGTTGGCCATTAAGCTCCTCACTTCCTCCCCTAGTCTTTTTCTTCTACCCTACCCCAAAGGAAGGAAACACTCCAGCCTCTTTTAAAAGGGGGAAAGAAAGCACAAACTTAAAATCCTTAAGTAAATTGGTAAAGGAAGGGTAGGACAGGTACTTTGACAGTGAGAAAGAACCTTACTGAAAATAGAGAGTAATTTCATCTTATATATAAATTGTGATCCAGGGATGGAAGATACAGATAGACAATTAGGGTCTGTGGTCCCTCTCTGAGTTTTTCTATGATTTCTGGGCAAGCCCAAATTTCTATAACATCAGAACAAGACAGAGAAAATCCCTGAGTACTTGAAAGAAGTTGATTCAGAAGAAATAAAAAGATATACCACATCACACAGCAACAGATAAACTCAAAACTCACCATCCCAAGAGTCTGTAATGGCTAACAGCGCCACTGGTGTGGTGGTACCATCTAAGATTCCCAAGAGTTTATAATGGCTGAAAGCATAAAGAATATAAAAGAAACATAGAAAATAATGAAACATAGAATAATAACCACTGACTGACTAGGAATTAGGAATCTTTCGGGAAAACATGTTTTAAGCACCCTTCCACCTTCTACTGGTACTACCAGAAAGCAAACCCTTGGCCAGACGTGTTTAGAAGTGACTCAGGAGACCATGACTTGTGGTTTCCATCTGTGTTTCCACCTACATGAGGTATAGGAGTTTCTTTTTCTTATATAGCCACGTATAGAGATGTAATAAATTGTTTACCAAGCTGATTTTTACTTCCTCCAAAGACATAAGCAGACCTTGAACACTTGCCATAATACTATAAAAAAGGAACTGGCAGTAGCGGGACACTGCCAGGGAAATGGGGGAGCACATAACATCACTAAGGGTACCTGATCTCAAACCGGGCAAAGTGAGAATCAAAGGGAGGCCCATACTTCACCTGAATGATGATCACTTGTATACATAATCCTGAATTGTACCCCTCATCTTTAAAATAAAAAACAAACAAATAAACAAAAAAGCAAAGACAGAAATGGCTTGCAATCGGCGCTCTTTATAAAATACTGGCTCACCAAAGACTAGTGACCAGAGGTGAGTCACAGTTGCCATATCCCGAGGGATCAGGGTGGGCAGGTGGTTAAGAGCACAAGCTCTGGAGGCAAGCTGCCTGGGTTTCCAGAACTTCCTAGAGTGTGACCTTGGACCAGTCACTTAACCTCCCATGGCCTCTATTTCCTCATCTATAAGATGAGGATAATAGTTCCAATCTCAGACTATTAAATGGGTTAATTCACAAAAAAAATGCTTAGAATGGTGCTTCAACTCAAGCACATTATTATTAAATATTAACTATAGCCCTCCCTCCATAAACAAAGGGGATTGGTTTGAAGACCTTCTGCCTGTACCTAAATCCATACATATTCAAGTCCCACAGTTGACTCTGCAGAACCCCAGTATATGAAAAGAAAAGTTGGCCTTTCCTATATGCGGGTTTTGTACTGAACTGCAATTTTGATCTATGTTTGGTTGAGAATAATTCTCGTATTAGGGGACCCATGTATAAGTGGACCTATGCAGTTGAAACCTGTTTTCCCAGGGCCGACTGTTTCATTATTGCCATTACCGAATGTCTATTTTATTATAAGAGACAGAATAGATGTTTTGAGTAACATCTGGTTTAGATTGGAAAGTAAAATCTTTGAAAGCAATTGACCAATCCAGACTTTGTTCTTCAGCCAGAAGGAAGAACACAGAAGTGTTTCCCTCTTTTGGGTTTACTGCTCCAGTTTGCTGGCTCTGCCACACCAGACAGATTACTTGATTTATCTGAGTCTCAGTTTATTGTGAAAATTAACAGGCATGTTGGCACCTAGAATATGGTATACATTCGGTGATTCTTAGTTCTTTGTTGCACATAAGAAATAAATACAAAATTGATTTTCAGATGTTTCAGGACATTTTGAATGTGAGCCCTTTAAAATATGACCAAAGCTAGCCACTTCACATTCCCCCAGCTCCAATAAATACATTATTAATGAAATTCTGTATCAGTCATCAATGTAACTAGTACTTTAATCACTAAAAAACAGTATCAACATGGCTGTCACTTAACATTTATAGAAACCTCACAATGCTGTAAGTCTGTGGAACAGGCAATTTGCACTGGCCCCTGCCTGAAGGCATTCGGTCAGAGTAAACAGTCCCCTTATCGACCCAAGGGAGAGGAGAGGAGAAGAATACACACTTTCAAAGGGGATTTCCACCCTCAGGGGAAGGGGATAGACTTCTAGAGCCAGGAGTCTTGTAGAATCCTAATTTAACCCCTGGCTTTCCAAATGAGAACACGGTCCAGAAAAGTAACGCAACTCCACGTGTTCAGAGTCTGTTCTCTAAATCTCTCCACCTCACAATGCTGAATGTACTCTTCCTGCCCAGGGTGTGGCCTATCCTCCACAAAGCTGGGGACCACAACAGAAATCAAGCTAAGTCACATCAGACTGACCTTAAAATGTTTAAAGGGGTTATTCTTGCATCAGGTATAGAACCACTCTCATTTAACTTGAGAAAAATCACATCACATTACTTCAAGGGACCAGGTCCCTCAGATGATGTACACCAGAATGGTCTAAGAGGAGATGGGATCAGCTGCCTCTCGCCCACAGCCCATGAAGGGGACTCTGAGAATCACCTCTGGCACTGTGCATCTTCTCCACATCCCACCCAGGGTATGAAATCCTACAACTAGGGAATCAGGCTTTGAAGCCTGTAAGGCTTTTTGATTTTTATAGTTTGCTTTTAAATGTAAATGCCTATAATGGGGTCTACATTCTGGGGGCTGGTAGATAACTGAGAAGGCACCTACCTTGGTCATTAGTCAGTAGTGGAGGAGGCAGAACTCCAGGAAGCTGGGAAAGGTAGGGAAGTTTAAATAAGGGAGTCGACAGGGCATCAGAGACAAACTTTACCTACACTGTAAGTCTTCCCTGGTCCAGGCCTGGCATCCTAAGGAATGTGGGCCTGAGTTTTCAAGGGTTTTTTAGCCTTTTGCCCTGAATACTGGACTGGGACTCTGAACCCAAATTTTTGTTTCTGCCTCTTATTCCAAATTCCTATTTAAGTTTGCCTAAGGTCATCCTCTCTGTGCCCCGGTCTCCCATCTGTTAGGTGAAAATACCACCATCCCCATTATCTGTTTCACAGAGGTGAATTGGTATTGAGGCAGAAAACAGTTATCAACACTGTGCTCTTTGGAAGGAAGTAGCCTCGATAAGTCACCATGTGCTTAAACCGAGTGGTTCGTGCCTGAGTAAATTGAGTTAAACTGAGTGAATTCATTAAAATATATATACTTGGGGTTGATCAGAAAACTCCAAAGGAAGGTTTCTGGGTCATGTCACTCCTGAGTCTTGATTGCAAACTGCCCCAGTCCAGATGCTGTGCCTTTTCCTCTTTCTTGGCGCCTAGTGTGAAACGCAGCAACTGCTACATGGTCTGGGGTGGGGACATCGTGGCCAGTTCCCAGAGATCAAGTCGGAGCAACGTGGACCTGGAGATCGGCTGTCTCGTGGATCTGGCAATGGGCATGTTGTCTTTCTCAGCCAATGGGAAAGAACTCGGCACCTGCTACCAGGTAGGGGTAGCTTCTGGGCTGGCCAAGGCCGTGGTGTCCCAGGCTTGGTTTTTATGCCTATGTTCCTCGTTCTCCACATTCAGCATCCCCACCACAGTGTGTCAAGTTCATGAGCCCATGTGGCCCATAAGCCATTTAGGGCAAAAAAATAATAACAAAGTGACTTCAGTTGTGCAGAGAAGAAAAAGGAGGAGGAATCATATTTATTAGTTGATCAGATAGGCTGGTCATCTTTCTAAATGATGAAAGGCTTTTCCTTGATATTGAGCTGTAAAAGCTTATTCATTTATTCCATAAATATTTCTTGTGCAGCCATTAAGTTACCTGCACTATATGAGATGCAAGATTTAAAAGGTGAACAGAAATACTTCTCACTTTAACACACTGCTATACTCAAAATAGAAACCTATAAAAACTGATTAATTTGCCAGGGAATATTCCCTCCACAAAAAGGTGCTTCACAGTCCTTATGATTGCTTTACAGGATCCTTTTAAAAATGCATTTATGTAAGTAATTTGTTTCCTTATTTCATGGACTGCGAACTTCCACAGAGCTACTTAGGAAATCCATCAGTTATACACATGTAGGTTTACTTGTCATTAACTGCAAGAAGCCTGATCTCATTATCCCTGATGGCCAGGTGAGCTTGGGAAAATACCACAATATTATATCCTCCTCTTGAAGATTTGCAATGAATGTTGGCACACTAAAAACTTCAAGAAATATTGCAGAGAGAAACCTGTCTAACCAAGCATTTCTCAAATTACTTGACAAAGAAAAGCACTTTTTTCACATTCACAATTTGTCGTATTCTATGACCCTAGAGTCCTACAGAGCATACTATGGGAAATGCCAATTTAGGGGTTCAGTTTCTATATTAAACATTCTTGACACTCCAAGGGTGGAACAGAGTGTTTCATGTATGTGTAGATCAAGATGCTAAATTAGTTCAAAGAAGGAAGAGCTCAGTCCCACCAAGAGCAGTCAGGAAAGTGTTCATTAAGGAGAAATCTTACTTTTGAATTAAAATAAGTTTTCCAGGTAAAGAGAGAAGAGTGTTCTAGGTTGAAGGAATGGCACAAGAAGCATTAGGAGGTAGGGAAGCATAAGGTATGTTTAAGGATCAATGGAAAGAATAGCGTGGGACTTTTATAGTTAGAGGTGAGAAATTTACTTGGAAAGGTAGGGAGGCATAGATAGGAAATAGGGAGCCACTGAAGGTTTCTGAGCAAGAGGGAGACATGCCATATTTAAGGAATCCATCAGTCTTCCAGGGTCATCAGCTTAGCTAAGCAGATTAAAAACATCCAGCTATTTTGTAAATGGATAAACCACTAATTCTTCAATCAGTCCCCGGTTACAGCCTCCAAGCTGAAAAGTCCCTTGGCAGACAAGGTGTCTGGCCTGCAGTTAAACAGATAGGGTCAGGTAGGGAGTGAACAGAGAAGTCACTTCAAATCTGAAGTGACCAAGAACAGATGGAATAAACACTTCCTGGGGGCTAGAACTCCAGGACCTCTTGCAGTGAATGATACTCTCTGCACCTCCTTTTCCTCCTGGGAGAACAAAGAATCGCCAACAACCCTTGGCAAGCTTGGTTCAGCAGCTGGGTTCAACCAGCTATTTCCAGAAAGAGACATATTTGTGAAGCCAGTCTTTGAGACAGAAAGTAAAATGTTATTCTTCTAGTACTTTCTCATGATTCCACCTCCCCACCCTCAAAGTCCCCTGAGAAACGTTTTATATACATTACTGCCGCCCTTCAGAATCCATTAGCTTTTTCCCATTAACTTTTGAAATGAATTTAACTGAAGGGTCCTCCCTGAGCTACGGAGAACTCTAAAGCATCTTATAACTTTTAAAGCTAGTTCGTCTTTGGAAGTTAAAAAAAAAATTTTTTTTAATTAATTTTTTTAAATGGCATTTGCAGCAGCAGTGACTTGATACCTTAGGGAAAAGCTCATAATGTTGAGGAGGTGTTACAACAAAGAGGAGAACGTTGTGGCAGTTTTATCCCATCTTTCACAGTCATTCCTGGGTGACACTGGGCTGGTCAGTTGTCTTCTCTGAGCTGAGTGTTGGCTCCTGCTTCCTGGAGTACCTTCCTCTGCTTTATGAATAGAAATCCCAATGCTGTAGAGGATGTGGGGTAAAGAGAACACTTCTGCACTGTTGGTGGGAGTCTAAACTAATACAATTTCTGTGGAAAACAGTGTGGCGATTCCTAAAAGATCTAAAAATCAACCTTCCATATGACTCAGCAATCCCCCTTCTGGAAATATATCTGGAGGAACTCAAATCACTCTGTAAAGATACTTGCACATGCATGTTCATTGCAGCATTATTCACAATAGCAAAAACATGGAACCAACCATACTGCCCCCTGAAAGTGGAGTGGATAAAAAAAAAAAGTGACACATATACACAATGGAGTATTATGCAGCCATAAAGAAGGACAAAATTATGGAGTTCGCTGCATCTTGGATGGATTTACAGTCTATCATAGTGATCTATCACAGAAACAACTGAGTACCACATGTTCTCATAAGTGGACCCTGAACATTTACCATAATACTAAGAAAGAAATTGGTCATAGTAGGATACTGCCAGGGGAGAGGGGAGAGGCGCATAACATCAATAAGGGTACCTGATCTAAAACCAGGCAAAGTGGGAACTAAAGGGAGGCTCAAACTTGACCTGTACGATGACTACTTATCTCTCTACCTAATCCTAAATTGTACCCCACATCTTTAAAATTAAAAAAAAATTAATTTTATAAAAAGTAATCCCGATGACTCTGCTCAGTGATCCCAGTCCTAACTCCCACCCTCAGGAACACTACTGTGAATAGGAGAGTGTCAGGGCTCTGTCCAGAAACCCCGGGAGGTTCACACCTAGCCAGCCCCCTTCTCATTCCACATGAGACAGCAACGTGTCCAGCCATACATCTGGTCCCCCCAGTAGGATCATTGTTATTCTGCAGCTGTAGCCATTTTCATTTTTCAATTATCTCAAGAACAGGCCAGCAGTATTTATACACCAGCTTTTGATTCAGAGAGGACCAGTAACCAAAATAATGAGAGAAGGATTCTTTCAAATAATGTTTCTAGACCTCCCCATCAAATAGTGCTATGTAATTTGAAAACTCTTTTTCTGTCCCATTTAATATAACCAGTAGAGAAATGAGAAATAAAATCTACATTCAAGAGATATTTTTCTGTGATTGCCACCCCAGCCACTGCTCTGAGTATAGGGTCAGCTATGAGATTCGGATTTACAAGAAGGGTTCGTTTTCAATTCAGGCCAATTTCTATGCCCTGACCTTCACACATGATTAGAAATAGAATGTCTACCATTGCAAGGACAAAAGAGATCAGCCAGTGATCAAATATAAAAGGGAAAAAAATCAGTGACGCATCATGGCAGCTCTAAATCTGGGCTCGCTGCTCATTCTGTTAGAATGTAAACTCATCCAAAGGGTAAGCTCCTTGAGGGCAGAGGTTGTCTCTCATGCATGCTGCTGCCTCCCAATGCATGGAACAGCACCTGGCACCCAGAGAATGCTCACTGAATATATGTTGTCAGACTGACCAGCATGGCTGGAAAATTACATGTATTCATTTTTTATTGCTGCCTGACATATTACTACAAAATTAGCAGCTTAAAACAACATACATTTGTTATTTTGCAAGTCTGCAGACTGGGTACTCAGATTTTCAAACAGCCCAAGGCAAGGTATCTACTGGGTGAACCAGGCTCCTGTGTAGTGGTTCTAGGACGAATCCATTTCTGAGCTCAGCCAGCCAGTTGGATAATGGCAGTGTCCAGGTCTTCGAGGCTGTGGGTCTTCACTTCTGAGGCCCCCATTTCCTTGCTAGCCATCAGCTCCCAGATGATACCCACATTCCTTTTCAAATGGCCCCCTCCATCTCAGAGCCAACAAGGGCACATCCGGTTTTTCTCTTGCTTTAAATCTCTCTGATTTTTCCTTCTTCCCCCTAGTAGGAATGCTTCTGTTTTTGAAGGACTCAGGCAATTCGAAATGGCCACCAAAGTCTTCTACCTTAAGGTCGACTGGTTAGTAGCCTTACTTACATCTGCAGAGTTCCTTTTGCCACATAACATAATAGAAGTAACACCAGGGATCCTGAGGACCTTCTAGAGTTCTGCTCATCACCTCACCAACTGCTATTTTTATGTTTATATATACTTGCATGAGCCCACGCAGTGTTTTCTTCTTATTTTAGTGATTAAAGAGAAATTTTCGTTGTTCCCCTTGGTGGGAGAGTATTCTGCATGGTAGAAATAAACCTATCCAGGGACATTCAAAATGCTTTCTTTTTTTTTTTTTTTTTTTTTTTTTAATTGTAGTTTCACTCCATCGCCCAGGCTGGAGTGCACTGGCCGCTCCCAGCCACCACAGTCTCGCCCTACTGGGCTCCAGCGATCCTTCTGCCTCAGCCTTCCAAGTAGCTGGAACGACAGGCACATGCTACCACACCCAGCTAATTTTTTTTTAAAAATTTATTGTAGAGATGAGGTCTCGCCAAGTTGCCCAGGCTGTTCTTGAACCCTTGGGCTCAGGCGATCCCCTCACCTCAGCCTCCTAAAGTACTGGGATTACAGGCATGAGCCACCACACCCAACCCTAAATGCTTTCAAAGTACCTGCTCTCTGCGGGAAGGTCTAAAGAAGACCCTGGAGTTTGGCTGTGCAGTTTAGGAAGCATGCAGGAACCAGTTCTGTGGGATCTAAAAAATACCACCCTCTCCAGGCCATAGCTCCTGCATTTCTCTCACCTACTGGCACAGACTCATGGGCTTCCTGCTGGTCCAGATGATTTCTCAGGCCTCTGCTTTCTTAAGGTCACAATGATCTGTGGGCTGTAAGTTGTTCTAGATGTCACATATTGGATATGTGAGAAATCTAGGGGTCAACCCAGAAACAACTCTGTCATCTACCAAAAGTCAGAACAGTATCATATCAGAATTTCCTATTTGTGTCTCTCACCACTGTAAACCCAGCATAGGAACTAACTATTTGCTGAATGTCCTTTGCAAAGCTTATTTCAGGAATAGCCAGGCAGTTCTAGAAGTCTGCCCCTCCATTTTGGTTTACTGGCATGTATCTCTTCATATTGTCTATGGGTACTGACATCCCATAAAAACAAAATGTACCTGAAATATGAATCCACTGTTGAGTGCCAGAATGACCATGTACTGGGCAAAACACTGACGTTAAACAGATCTGGCCTGTTTCATTATAAGCAAATGATAGCATCAGATCATGAAATCTTTTAAGTCACTTGCAGCCATAAAAATGTGTGTTCTTATAAATCTTATGTCTAAACGCATTGAGAAAGTTTGTTATTTAAGGGGGAAGCCGGTAACAAATACTCTGACAAAAAGAAACTGTATTCATTTTCTATCACCACATTAAAATTTACTACAAATTGAGTGACTTAAAATAACATACACTTATTATCCCGCGGTTTCTGTGGGTCAGGAATCTGGGCACAGTTTAGCTAGGTCCTCTACTCAGGGTCTTAGAAGGCCGCAATCAAGGTGTCAGCTTTCTGGAGCTGGGTATCCTCTCCCGATCTCACGTGGTTGTTGGCCAAATTCTGATGCTTGCATTTGTAGAGCTGATATCTCATTTTTATGCGGCTGTTACCAGGAGCCACTCTCAGTCCCTCAAACCCCTTCTCACTCACCTCTCTCCTGAATTCCTTGTTCCACGGCCTCCTTACAGACTTTCTTACAACATGGCAGCTTGCTTTTCCAAGGCCAACTGGAGAATCTTTCTCGCCAGTCTGCTAAGATGGGCTTTTACATGATGTAACCCAATGAAAGGAGTGATAGGCCCTTCATCTTTGCTATGTTCTATTAATAATTGCCAAAAACAAGTTCTAGGGATAGGATTAATGAGATTATACAGAAGGATGACTCACTGGGGTTACCTTAGGGTATGTCCAACAACATACCCACCATCCCCTTATATGTAGAGTTGCAAGAACTTCCTGATGTCTGGATTTGCTTCAAAGCAAAGGGTTTCAGCTGGTGGAATTAAGGTCCTAGTGTATGAGTAGACTTTGTGCTTTCTTCCATGGCCCACTGGTGATTCTCTCTTTCCAACACTAGTAAAAAGAAATGCTGAGGCTGCAGCTTCCATCAAAGGAAACAAACAATACATGGAGCCCTGATGCTGTACATCAGTAAATCCAAGCAGCCATTGGAGGACAGTCAATCCTGAATCTTTTAGCATAAAAACCGAATCATAAGGAGTGAGAAGAGGGTGAAGAGGAGTCCAGGGGAATTCAGGGAAAAGGAGAGGTTTGAGGAGGAGATGGGCTCAGGAAACAACCCTTTCTTCTACTTGTTTTTTGTTGTTGTTGTTATAAAGACCATGAAGTGCCTCACTGTCTCTGCCTGTGGAGCAGCAGTTCTCAACCAGGGGTATGTTTGCACGGCACAGGACATTTGGCAATGTCAGTAAACCTTGTAGGTTGTCATGACTGTGGTGGGGATGGGGAGTCTTGCTGACATGTGGGGGGCAGGAGGGCAGTGATGCCACTCAGTATCCTACAGTGCACAGGAAGGTTCCCACCATGAAAAATCACCCAGCCCAAAACGTCAGCAGTGCTGAGATTGAAAAACCCACCATACCATCTCCCTGGGATTGCTTGACCAATGTGAATTTGCCTTCAGAAATAATCCTGCCTCACCACCTTGTTCTCAGTGATCATCTCCAATGGGCACGTGTGGTATGTGATGGTGCTGCCCACGTGCAAGGATCCCTGGGCTCTAGAAAGAGCAATCACATCATGTCATTCAGTAACCAGCAAGCCTGCCTTTGGTGGGGGGGGCGTTAGTTTCTCATCTATGACTATCTTCCTGCACACTGGAGAAAGCCACTACCTACAGGTGCTGGAGAGAAATAGTGAAAGGACCCGAGATTGTTCAGCCGCAAGTAGAGAGAGTGTTTAAGGTGTGGAGTTGTGATAATCTCCACTAACAGACACCAGGTCTCTGAGGATTCCTGAGCAGTAGAGAATGACCAGTCAGCTAACTGTCCTCTTTCAGCTGAGATTAGAATGAGAGTGCTGACTGAAACACCCAATGGCTTAGCAAGCTGTGCTGTTATAGCTCTGGGAAAACCTCTTGTTTTGTTTTGCTTTTCAGGTGGAGCCCAATACCAAAGTATTTCCAGCAGTTTTCCTGCAGCCTACAAGTACTTCTTTGTTTCAGTTTGAACTTGGGAAGCTGAAGGTATTTATCTGGCTTCATCTAATGACCATGACAAGAGAAGGCAGCACTGACCACTGGGGGAAAAAAAATCCCAGGCCTCAGCAGACAGGAGATGCCCTCTTTCTTCTCATATGTCCCCACACCCCCAGGTCCCTACACTTGCCTGAGAAATTCAGATGACAAAGCATACATTCTTATCTTCCCCTTTTGCTACTTTTTTTGGGAAAAAAAGGAAAAATTCAATTCCTTTGCTGAAGGAATTGATGAACTTTTATATAATCCATTCTTAAAAGTCCTAATTCATGCTAGTAAATCCCTTATAGGTCCCCTGGATACAATTGTCTCTCTTTAATTTATGCTAACCCTGTTGGTTATTATGGATTGGTGCACCATCCAGCAACTGTGTATTTTCTTCTCTAATGCCTTTCCACTTTGCCCCAGAATGCAATGCCCCTGTCGGCAGCCATATTCAAGAGTGAAGAGAAGAACCCAGTCCCACAGTGTCCACCTCGGTTGGATGTCCAAACCATCCAGCCTGTGCTCTGGAGCCGCATGCCCAACAGCTTCTTGAAGGTGGAAACAGAGCGCGTGAGTGAGCGCCACGGCTGGGTGGTGCAGTGCCTGGAGCCCCTGCAGATGATGGCACTCCACATCCCCGAGGAGAACAGGTACGAGGGGGGCCCACAGAGGCAGGGGAAGCCCTGGGAGGCAGGTGAGGCAGGGCCAAGCAATCCCAGAGAAGAGCCAGGAGCATCCTCACTGGATCCAGCTGAGTCCCAAAATGACTCAATTTCCCCAATGCCTTTACTTCTAGTCTTTCCCTTTTCCACTTTCATGATTCACTCAGAAATGGTGGAAAATGCCCATGATATGCCTGCCACAGGGCCTTTGTTATAGCCTCTGGTGCCTGGGATCCAGGAACATTTTTATTCCTTTAAATAAAAACCAAGTGACCCTGAAATATACATTATTTATGACAAAAAGAGAAAGAATGAGGCATGCCTAGCTTGACTTAGAGAATCAAAAATCAGGCTCCTGGTCTCCCCCTCTTGAGAGGTACTCTTGAATTATCACTTAGGTTCAATCCTAGTACTCTCATTTTCTGGATAAGTTACTTGTGTGCTCTGAATATTGGTCTCCTCATCTATACAGTGAGAGAAATACCTACCCAAAGGGTTGCCGAGAGAAAAAAATTAGGTGTATAAATAAGATCTAGTACAATTTTTGTACACAGTAAGAATTAGATAAATGTTATTGTTGTGGTTATTATCCCTTGATCATGTCAACTAAAAGAATAGACTAATGGAGAGGGTGGTGGTGTTTGGCACCTGCAGAGCTGCCATTTGGGTGCCCTGTTGTATCACCAATAGCAGCGGAACAGGCTAGTGCAGGGAAGGAGCAGAAGAGACCAGGAGCCCAGCCAAGTAAGTATTCTAAGATCCATGAAGAGGAGTGAGGCAACATGGAAAATCTAAGCAGAGGTTAGAGCCCAAGCCCTGAACCTGTACAAACAAGGAAGCAACACACAAACAGACCTGTAAAGTCAGGAAATAGCCTAAACTGGATTATGCCAACTGATTTCAGGTTGGAAGACGAGTGCAGGTGTGTTAGTTTCCAGGAGCAAATCGCCCCATGGATGGTGGTAGATTGGAGATTGTACAGATGATGTAGACAGTAGATGTACGGAGGGCTTCAGCTGCATCTTCTGGAGGACTTTTACGTCAGGAAATAAAGGATCCACTTGATTCCACAAATAAGAGGATCAAGTCACCTCTGTCATATACTTAAATGTTTTTCTGTTTGAGGGTTTTGGATTTTTCCTTAATAAAGAGGACTTTCCCATTTGCTGAGCCAGTATCTTGCAGGCTTTTGAGAGCCTTGTAATTAGATATGGTGGATTACCAGGAACTGGGTATGCACTGGAGCTGAAAGAGGAATGATAACCCAGAAGGGAACGCGTGGCAGAGACACCTTCATCCTTCTCCCCTTCTGCTTTTGATGGACTGGGTGAACTTTCTGAACCCTTTTGCACAGTCTTCTCCCCAAGGTGTGGTTGATTGCTTGTCCTATCCTCAGGTGTGTGGATATCCTGGAGCTCTGTGAGCAGGAGGACCTGATGCAGTTCCACTACCACACACTGCGACTCTACAGTGCTGTGTGTGCCTTGGGAAACAACCGTGTGGCCTACGCCCTGTGCAGCCATGTGGACCTCTCCCAGCTCTTCTCCGCCATTGACAATAGGTACCTCCCTGGCCTCCTTCGATCAGGTTTCTATGACCTGCTCATCAGCATTCACCTGGCCAACGCTAAGGAGAGGAAGCTGATGATGAAGAATGAGTACATCATCCCCATCACAAGCACTACCAGGAATATCCACCTGTACCCGGATGAGTCCAAGAGGCATGGACTGCCTGGGGTGGGCCTGAGAACGTGTCTCAAGCCCGGGTTCAGGTTCTCTACCCCTTGCTTTGTCATGACCAGGGAGGAGTACCAGAAGCAGAGCCCTGAGATTCCCTTGGAGATTCTCAAAACGAAGGCACTGGGCATGCTGACAGAGGCTGTGCAGTTCAGCGGGGCCCACATTCGGGACCCCGTCGGGGGGTCTGTGGAGTTCCAGTTTGTACCTGTGCTGAAACTCATTGGAACCCTGCTGGTCATGGGGGTGTTCGATGATGATGATGTTCGGCAGATCCTCCTCCTGATCGATCCCTCTGTGTTCGGGGAGCACAGTGGGGAGACAGAGTGGGGAGCAGAAAAGGAGGAAGTGACCCAAGTGGAGGAGAAGGCAGTGGAGGCTGGGGAGAAAGCCAGCAAAGAAGCCCCCGTCAAAGGCTTGTTGCAGACCCGATTACCAGAGTCCGTCAAGCTGCAGGTAACTCCGGGCAGCAATGATAGTACCCTGGGAAAGGGCTGGGAGGGAAAGAATGCTGTGTGGGGCTGGCATTGTGGACACTGGCCTCCCCCTGCTGCTGAAAGAGTACAGCAGAGATGCTCAGAGAGACAGCTCGTGGGGGAATACTTGTTTCTGACAGGGAATGCACTCCCTCAGCCTCCCCCAAGCCAAAGGCACATGCTTTAGACTAGTTCTCTGGTACCGTGATGAGTTTGTCCTGATCTTACCTCTTATCCTTTGGAATGCAAGGGCTATTTGTGAGATATTTGTCTGGAGATGGGGAGAAGCCTTTGGCTGTGAAATAAGCTGAAGGAACTAACTCATAGGATCATGGCGCCTTCTCCTGCTCCCATCAGGCTCTAACCACCTAGCTGACATGGACCTATTGGATAGCATTCAAATCGCTGCCATCTGAGCAAAGAAGGAAAGGCATGTTTGTAGAGGCATCACCTAGGAACTCACCTAAAATCTAGGCTTTTCAGATGTAGGTTTGCATCTGTGATGCACAGAGGACAAGAACTTTTGTCTTCTGGGCCCTGAGAAAAAGTGAAAATGAATGGAGTAGAACAATCTTTCCCAGTGGTTTGAACCTGAGTCAGCCCTCCCTGGGTTTCAATTTCTGCTCCTCAGCTACTCACTAGCTATATGAACTTGCCAAGTCAATAACTGATCAGACATTTGGCTTTATTATTTGTAAAATGTGTATGATAATAGAATAAAATATGTTGACATGTATTTTATAAAATATAATATAAAGTATGTTTTGTCATACAATATAAATCTATAGGCCAAGTCAGTGGCTCACACCTGTTATCTCAGCACTTTGGGAGGCTGAGGTGGGCTCAAGATTGCTTGAGCCCAGGAGTTCAAGGCCAGCCTGGGAAATATAGTGAAACCTCGTCTCCACAAAAAATTAGCCAGGTGTGGTGGTATGTACCTGTAATCACAGCTACTTGGGAGGCTGAGGAGGAAGGATCACATGAGCCCAGGATGTCGAGGTTGCCGTGAGCCATGATCATAGTAATCATGCCACTGCACTTCAGTCTGGGCAACAGAGTGAGACCCTCAACTCAAGAAATAATAATAACAAATACATAAATCTACAGAAGAAGCTGTCTTATCTGATGTGATAGGATTGGTAAGTAGTCAGTTAATCAAAATATTGAGTATGAAAAAATATAGCAAATTTTACATACACACCTTAAACTTTTTATTATGATGTGCTAATGTGCTATTTTAATGTAGGACCAAGATCTTTTTTTAAATGTGAGTTTCCTGACTGGCATGTAAAGTCCTTCCTTTTGCATGGGTGATATCCCTAACACACCATCTGCAATAACCAGTTTGGGAGTTTTAAAGTGGACTTTGACTTAGAGGTAATTGGAAAACAACCTGGATGTAGAAGCATCTAGATTTTTATGATTTCCCCCAATTTTTTGTAGTTGTCTCACACCCCATGTTAGCATTTTTTATAAAGTTGCCTTCTACAGATGTCTCCTAGTCATTCAACTTAGTTTTCCTGTTTAATTGTCTTACATAATTTTAATTAAATTATATAATTATAATCACAATTATGGGTCCTGGTTCACCAGGCAGGAGCAGAGGTATGCATATTTGCCAGTGCATCCCACAAGATGAGAGCACTCCATGCACCAGCAGCATCTGTTGTCTGTGCCCCAACAGACCTGAGAGCATCCTTTAGTCACATGAGATGGTTAAATGGAGGTGGGTAAATAGAACTTTTGCTTTAATAAAATTATCAGAAACACACTGAGGGTTAAAGGAACTAAAGTATGCCAAGTACTTGGCACAGTATCTGGCAAGGAGTCCTTGATGGTTGTGGTTACAGGTATAAAAGTGATGAGATTAGTAAAAATAATAACACAAAAGAACTGATTACAGAAAAACAGTTCAGATCAACTAAAAAACAGTAAAATATGGGGAGGAAAAACAAATGTCTCAATTCTCCGTCCTCCAGGACTGAAAGATATCAGAAAGCAAGACAGAGGTCACGTGTTGAATAGCTTCCTGGGGAAATATTTTCTCAGAAACGCTGTTCTCTCTCTCCACAGGTAGATTCCTGTCTTTAGTGAGCTCAATTTTATGTTGTTGCCTTGGCTTTAATGGTGAAGAGCTAGTCTCTGAATTCAGACCAACTTGGATTTGAGTAATAGCTCTATGGTTAATGTATAATGCTGAACAAGTTACTATAGTTGTCTGTCTCAGTGTTACCATCTGTAAAATTGAGATGCTAGCAGCCTCACCAATGTACATAAAGTATTATTTTATATATAATATATATCTCTGTATATGCATATACAGAGATATATATTATATATAAAATAATACTTTATGTACATTTATACAGAGATATATATTATATATAAAATAATACTTTATGTACATTTATACAGAGATATATATTATATATAAAATAATACTTTATGTACATTGGTGAGGCTGCTAGCATCTTAATTTTACAGATATATGTCTGTATAGACATATGTACACATATATTTTATATATGTCTTTATGGACATATATATACACATATATACACACAATTTTGTTGCAGATGTGTGAGCTCCTCAGCTATCTCTGCGACTGTGAGCTGCAGCACCGAGTAGAGGCCATTGTGGCATTTGGTGACATTTATGTCTCCAAGCTGCAGGCAAATCAGAAGTTCCGCTACAATGAGCTCATGCAGGCCCTGAACATGTCCGCGGCTCTGACAGCTCGAAAGACCAGGGAGTTCCGCTCACCCCCACAGGAGCAGGTGAGTGTCCCTTTCTGAGATTTTATCTGATCCCTATCAAAGAACTTGAAACTATGGAATAGGGAACATGAAACATTGACATTTATGGTATCTGGGACAGCCTCAAGTCCTGTGGAAGATTTTATTTTATTTTTTTTTGAGTTGGAGTCTCACTCTGTTGCCCAGACTGGAGTGCAGTGGCCGCTCCCAGCCACCGCAGCCTCGACCTGCTGGGCTCCGGCGATCCTTCCGCCTCGGCCTTCCGAGTAGCCGGAATTACAGGTGCGCACTACCACACCCGGCTAAGTTTTTGATTTTATTGTAGAGATGAGGTTTTGCCTGCCCAGGCGGGTTTCGAATCTGCGGGCTCAGGCAATCCACTCACCTCAGCCTCCCAAAGGCGCGGGATTACAGGCTGAGCCACCGAGCCCGGCTCCTGTGGAAGATTAAAAGACCTACTACAGTACCAGGAGACAGGCCTAGTCCTATGCGAACAGCAGATGAGGAATGTGTATGGATTATCTTGGGTGGGAAAGTAACCCTTTCTAAACTGGACACAGGGCAGGGATTCCTCCCTTCCTTTACCCTATCCTTTACCTCTTTTACTGAGTCAAAAACCAGACCACTGTTGGGATTCAGTGGCCACCCAAGCAAGAGCCAACCACTCATAAGAATTTCTGCCAACCCTTCCAGAAGTCACTATATGTCTATCAGAAACCAGCAGAATACAGCCACCATTCCCCGACTTAGAGAGTTAATGCACAGTCTTTCATCTAAGGTGTCTAAACCCCTTGCCCAGTGGCTGTGACTTTCTCACAAAGTCTCCTCGGCCCCACAGAGCCTAGACAAGGGGACTCAGTGAATGAGTCATCTTTGCAATGCATTGCATTCATTCTTTACAGTATACCCATACATTCCCTTTTACCCAGAGGGAAAGGCAAGATCCTGGTGAGAAACTTCTAAGGGAGAAAGGGACATCTTTTGGAGTAATAGTTTCCATTTTCTCCACTGCTCAGCTGCTCACCCAGACCCTGCAGACTGGTTGGCCACTGCTCTTTGAGTGTTCAAAAGAGAAGATAGATCTTTCAGTGAAGAAATTAGTGTTTTGTCTCTGAAACGAAAGCTTCAGATCTTATGTACACTTAAATATATATTTAAGTATATATGTATCCAACAAATTGCCTGTTCATCAAGCATTGTCGGTATAATTACCATTTTATATTAATGACACAACTACAACTTTATCCAGGTACTTTCCTAACCTATTTTATAGAAGTTATTTATTTATTTATTTAGAGTTAGAGTCTCACTCTGTCACCCAGGCTGAAGCGCAGTGGCACAATCATGGCTCACCACAGCCTCGACCTGGGCTCAGGCAATCTTTCTGCCTAAGTCTCCCAAGTAACTGGGACTACAGGTGTGCACCACCATGGCCTACTAACTTTTCATTTTTATTTTTTAAGAGATGAGGTCTCTCTTTGTTGCCCAGGCTGGTGTCGAATTCCTGACCTCAAGCGATCCTCCTGCCTAAGCCTCCCAAATTGCTGGGATTACAGGCGTGAACCACTGTACCTGGTCAAAGATAGATATTTATATTGGCTTCAAAATGAACCCCATACGTTGACTTTTAAAAGATTCCCTCGAATAATACTGGCCTTGCAAAGGTCAGAAAAAGCTTATTATTCCTTTGCTAGATGCAGAATGAGAAAGCCCTTTAGATTAACTGAATTAGATCATTTGTACCATGCCAAATACCCAAAAATTTTTCCCCCAAAATTACTCTTGAAGGCTTTATAAATGTTGTCAGGCTGTTTTTAGACCGCCAATCGGTCTGAATGTTCCCCTGCCAATGGGTCTGAATGTTCCCCATCTTTTTTTTTTTTTTTTTTGAGTTGGAGTCTCACTCTGTCTCCCAGACTGGAGTGCAGTGGCTGCTCCCGGCCACTGCAGCCTTGCCTGCTGGGCTCCAGTGATCCTTCCGCCTCAGCCTTCCAAGTAGCCGGAATTACAGGCATGCACTACCATGCCCGGCTGATTTTTTGATTTATTGTAGAGATGAGGTCTTGCTGCCCAGGCGGGTCTCGAACCCACGGGCTCAGACAATCCACTCACCTCAGCTTCCCAAAGGCGCGAGATTACAGACTGAGCCACCGAGCCCGGCTTGTTCCCCATCTTAAAGACCAATGCTAACTCTTTCATATGCCTTTGTGAATAGTGGAGTGAAAGAATGATGTGGTGATGAGAACACAGGTGTTGACTTCAGACTGTGGGCACCCATTCTGGCTCTCCCATCACACGCTGTGGTGTTGGCCGCATGACCTCTCTGTGTCTCAGTTTCTTCAGCTGCAAAATGTGGATTATGTTTGCTTCTCCCTCCCAGAATTCTTACAAGGATCCCACAAGACCATTTGTTTAGATTACTTAGCACGATGCCAGTCATACAGTAAGTGTTCTGTAAGAACTAAGGAAGCTACCATTCGTTTTAGTGTTGGAGATATTTGCAAATTGCCTCATGCCGTGTTCTGTGCCCTTCCATCAGTGACCCAGTAAGTGGAGTTCACACATGTTTTCTGGCATCTCTTTCACCCAGCCAGGACTGGGGTTGTCCATCCAACACTGTCCTCATGGATGTAACCCATGGTCCTGGCTCCTGGAAGGACAAGGTTGGTGCCCATCCTTCCTTTCCCCATTCTCCTGCTACACCTGCTCTTCTGACATCCTTGGGGCTGCCTTTGAGAGCTGCTGTCAGTCAAAAAGCAGCTTGACAACATTTGTAAAGCCTTCAAGAGTAATTTTTGGGGAAACAGCATACTCATGTTCTTTGGCAAGGTGCAGATGATCTATTCCAGTCAATCCACAGGGCTTTCTCATTTTGCATCTAGCAAAGGAATGATGAGTTTTGTATCCTCCTTCAGTATTCTAAACAATCCTCTGAGCAATCATTTTAGACTCATTTCAGAAGTCTGTAACTCAAGAAATTCTTCCCTAATGTATTAGACAAGTGACTCTTGAGGCAGGCATCAGAATCACCTGAAGGGTTTAATAAAACAGATTGCCTGGTCCCACCCCTAGGGTCTCTAATTCAGGTCTGGGATGAGGCCCAAATATTTGCCTTTTTAGCAAGTTTTCAAGTGATTCTGATGCTGCTGGTGTAAGAATAGCATAAAAGAAGGGACACTATCTGCTGTGAAACTCAGGTGTCCCTCTGTCACCTCTCCCAGAGTATTCGCATCTAGAAGGCACCTACCCATAGAGCTCTCAGCATAAGGAAGAATTTAATGTAATCAAAAGATATGGGGGATTTAGATCAATTTCAGAACCACTTGGAAAACAGGCTGTCTGGGGCTTAACATTTTTAAACAGTAATATTCTTCCACAATCTTTGAGAGGAAAACAATTTGTTTTGTTTAGCCCTATATCCAGAGTATTCAGAGAGATGGAAAAAAAAATTGGGGGCTAGAACTAAGTACAAAAAAAAAGGTAAAACTAAGATTAGCCAAGCATAGTCAGTTGGCCTTTCACCTCCAAGAGGACTTCATTAAAAGGCATGAACTACAGTATAAAATGTAGCTCAGTCAAGCTTGTGGTTTTACACCTGCAGACAAGGAGGCCCCTCCTTCCCATGTATTCTGCCAAAGGAAAGGTCTTTCAACAAATAGATTAGTTTTCTCACCCTGAAACCAGATCTTATTTTAATTTAAGAAACAACCTGTCAGTGATGTTGTTAATATGATTACCATAATTTAACATCATGGAACAACCACAAAAATGACTTTTCCAACCTTTTGTATGGATATTATTTTCTTATAGACAATACCTCTACCTACTTCCAAAACACAGTTTGGAGTAGAAGCTTTGGGTCAAGTTCTTCCTAACTATGATAAATAAGTTTCCTGATTTGATAAGAGATTGTAAATTTTCCCAAATATGAAATTTTTTTTTTCATGAGTTGGTATCTTACTCTGTCACCCAGGCTTGAGTGCAGTGGCACGCTCACAGCCACCCCAGCGTCGACCTGCTGGACTCTGACAATCCTTTTGCCTCAGCCTTCCAAGTAGCTGGAACTACAGGCATGCGCTACCATGCCCAGCTACTTTATATTCATTGTAGAGACCAGATCTTGCCAAGTTGCCCGGGCTGGTCGTGAACCCACAGGCTCGAGCAATTCACTTGCCTCGGCCTACCAAATTGCTGGGATTACCAAGCCCAGCCCCAACCTTGAAATCTTAAACCAAAAGTTTGACCTATCCTGGCTGAGTTAGCAAAATGGACAGAATTATCTCTATTTATTTCTTCAGTCCCTTCAGATGTTCACTGTCCTGGGGTTGTGGCCCCACGGGAAAAATTCAGGGATCCAGGGACCTGGATGGGAAATAAATAACAATTTTCTTTTCCCTAATCTTTGATGACATTTCATTTTTAATGTAGACAGCAAAATAAGTACATGACTTTGTCACTACCAGAAATTGTATATGTTTTTCTGTCATATGACAGTAGTTACAGTGTCCAGAGCTGTCATTCTATTATTCATCACTACTTCAAGATCACATGGATGTTAAACCTGTCCTTAAGTCATTGTATCTAATGAGTTAATAAAGAAGTCCTTATGTTACTGTGTCACAAGTCTGTTTTTAAAAGATTTTGATAACTGTATCTTAATATGATGGTTTCTCTTTGTAGTCCTGTATGTTTTATCTTATGTATTTAAAATATTAATCTGAGAAGCAATCCATGGGTTTCACCAGACTGTCAGGGGGTCCATGGCACAAAAACATTAAGAATCCTTGAGACAAAACTGAAAAGGGAAAGAATGATAGATTGACTGAAAAACTTAGACCTACATGTCAAAAGGAAAAACAAAACAACCCTGTAGATAAAATTAAAAGCTCACTAAAAACTGGGCAATATGTTTGGATACATTTTACAAAGAGTTAAAAATTTGGAGGCATACAAAGCACTCATGGACTAAGTTTTTAATAGAAAAATGGAGGAATAGCATGGATGGGAAATTTCTAAAATATGAAAATTAGTCTTTGTGTATGAAAAAAGTTCAACCTCACCAATTAAGTATAAATTAAAAGCATCAGGGATATAACATTTTTCACCCATTACATTGGAAAATATTTGAAAATGTGTTAATTCTCTACCATAATGAAGACGGCAAAGTAATACATACTGTTGTATAAATTTTGTAATAATGCAAATTGTTGTGAGCTTTCTGGGAAGCAATTTGGCAACTCATGTTAAAAAAAAAAACCACTAAAATATGCTAGCCTGTTGCTCCAATCATTTTACTTTTAGGAGTTTATCCTAAGAAAGTGATCAGATACATGAGCAAAAATTATTTTAAAGAAAGTTTGGGCAACCCCCTGGGGTCTCCTCCAATTGTGGGAGCTTTTCTCTCCTCTCAACAAATCCTGCTTTCTCACTTTAAAAAAGTTCAAATCAAATTTATATGGACAAAAAAATTGAAATAACTATACCATAACATAATTTTTCATAAATTATTATTCATCCATATAAAATACAATGTAGCTATTAAAAATTAGATGTTCAAGATAAATTAAGTGGAAAACTCTGTTTTTTTAATAAATATGTCTAGACCATGATCCTAATCTGTTTGTGTGTATATATATAAAGTCTGGAAGATATTAACTAAAATTTGAGCAATAGTTATCTTGGGGTGGTGGGATCACAGTATATTTTCTTTAGATATTTTCCAAATTTTGTGCAATTAGTAAGTCACCTTTAGCATCAAAAAAAAATGAAAGCTACTTTTTAATATTGACCAGTTTTACAAAAAAATTGACTGAATAAAATAAATTTTTACAGAATATTAGATGTCTTTCTAAGGCAGGATCTGAGTTCCCTTGACTGACATTGAGAATCAACCAGCCATTCTTCTCTTGCCCCTCAAAGATCAACATGCTTCTTAACTTTCAACTGGGAGAGAATTGCCCCTGCCCAGAGGAGATTCGGGAGGAGCTGTATGACTTCCATGAGGACCTTCTCCTTCACTGTGGTGAGCTTCTGGGAGAAAGGCTTTATCAAGAAAAGTCTGTTCCTGATTCCTTCATTAGAAAGCTAGTAGGGGATTGGGAAGTTGTTTTTGTCATTGAAATGACAATATTGTTGTTCAAGAAATGACTCTATCCTAACTACTTGTGTCAGAGAAGATGCATGAAATAACTCTGGTAGACCATATGACTGGAATTCCTGCTGCCTAGAAGAGACTTTGCTGAGATACAGAAAGAAAACAGGGTCTCTAGAGAAAGACGGAAGATAATTGACCCTTTGTATACACCTCACCTAATATAGTTAGGACTCTCTGCCCCCTGCTGAGTTAAGATTCTGATCCCTTTGCTTTTCAGCTAGTGTGTGTGTGTGTGTGTGTGTGTGTGTGTAACTTCTGCCCTTAAGAATTCTAAGAAAGTAATCTCTACTTTGATGCATATCTGCTGGTCTTAAGTGACTCTCAGCATTTATGCTGCTTGTACATGGGTAGATTGCGTAGTATATGGGTATTGATGAGCTTTTCTTTTGAAATAATTCAATGTTAACTCTTTCTAGAGACCCTAAAGCCTTTTGGGGTATAGGTTAGTAAAAGTTATATTTTGGGATTGAAATTATTTGGTGTTCCTGTAAAAAGGAAATCACTTATTTTTTTAAAAAGTCCTAAAAGATACTTGTAGGGAACTATTTATAAGAGGATGCCTATAGTGTCTTTAGAGAGTTCCAGAAGGATGTGAAGCATATTTTTTTATGTTCTAACACATGGTGGATTCATATAGTGTTTGGGATTCTCACTGTGTATGGCATGCCAGGTGTTCCCTTGGAGGAAGAAGAAGAGGAAGAGGAAGATACCTCCTGGACAGGAAAACTCTGTACCTTGGTGTATAAAATCAAAGGCCCACCCAAGCCAGAGAAGGAGCAGCCGACAGAGGAGGAGGAGAGATACCCTAGTAAGTAACATTTCCTTTTAATGACTGTAATCCCAACACTGTGCTCTTCTAAGACTTAACTAAGGTAATCGCTTTCCAACAAATACTGTTATATACACGAGGGGGACCACCCCCAAAAAACAGAATTATCTCTGGAGGGCAGGCTCCTTTAGTACAGGCTTTCACAGCTAGGTAAGTGTTCTAGGAACCCATCAACATCAATGTACCAGCTAGCATTACTGTGAGAGATTGCGTTAAACTTCAGTGAATTTTCCTTTGGAGATTCTTTCAACATGTTTGCCCATTTCATGATGGATGATTTATGAGCACACCTGTCTACACTATGCTGAGTGTTCAGCAGTTTTTTTTGTTTTTTTGTTTTTACCAAAAACAGCATGGCTCCTATGCCCTGCTCTCCCTGTTCAACTGATCTCATCCCGAGTGACTTTTTTTTTCTTTGTTACTCTGGATGAAAAAAGTCCTCAAAGGGAAATGTTTTGCCAAGTATGGAAGAGATGAAACAAAAAATGACAGAAGCACTAAAACATCCAAATTGACAAGTTCAAAATTGTTTTGAGCAGTGGAAAAGGCATTTCGATAAGTGTATTGCCTCAAGTGGAGAATACTTTGAAGGTGACTGAAGTTTAAACATGTAAGAATAAATACCCATTTTTAAATAAATAAATTCTGGTTTGGGGGATTCCCCTTGTATATGAGCTGCTTAACTTCAATGGAAGCAACTGGGTGTTTATGTTGTAATGGCTGGTTTTTACTACTATGTATCTTGGTCTCTGCCTTTCTTCTGATTGGAGGAACTTACTTTCAGACTCTTCCAAAACCTGAGAGGTTGATTGCTTAGTGTCTGCTCTTGTTGGCTGTCTACTTAGAAGTACCAGTAAACAGGTTTCTTCCTCTTTTAACTCTTGTTGTTTCTGTTACTTCTGTTTGTGGTTCCTTCGCATTGAAAATTGTCCCAGGGAGGAAATAAAATAGTAGTAAAAGAGGGCTTATGAAGTAAATAGGATGTGGAGGTTTTGTGGGAGGTGGAGCAAATTATTTTTGGTTTGTGGCTATGATTTTGGTAATGCAGCATCCTTGAGAACATTGACCTTCTGTTTTCCAACAATACTGAGCCTTGTCCAGAATCTTCTCTAATCCTTATGCCAGCGATGCCTCCTACCATTTTGACGCATGTTGAATCAGGATCATACTTTGTTCTGCAAGGCAGTAGACTCTTTAAGTCATTCACATTTCAAGGGGAAGATTGAATATTATATATAATCAGTCTGCTCCTTGGTACAGATTCAGCAAAATTATCATTTGTCTAAAGAAAAAGGAATTTCCTAGGCTTCATATGGTTGCTTTATCTTGTTTCCTGTTCCTATCCATCTTGGAACACACTTTCAAATCGTAGACTAGAGCAATTGACTGTCAAGATAGAATCGGTTTGTCTGAAAACACTACTTTGGGGTTCATACATCTTAGTGCCCTTTATATTGACCTTTCTTCTCTGTCAGAATATCTGTGAAGGAAACAAATTCCCACCATTTATCAGCAGAAGTGTTGAAGCTGGGAGAGCACATGGGGGACTTGGCACTGGCAACCCTTGATAGTTCTATTTGTTACTATGGAGAGGGTGGATCTTTGTTGAGGATATGCAGGATTCTAAAGCCACAAGAAAGAGAGTTTGGACTCTGTTTGTGGTTATGGCCAGAGCAAAACTAAAAAGTGATTAAATTGACCCATATGTCTTCTATATTACCTGCTGAGAGTCAATTTTGAAAGTGGATGCATCTTTGCAACCTTCTTTCTAACAAAGTATGTCATAACTGGGGGTCTCAAAAGGGGACCATTTCCTGTGAGAAAATTGGAACCAGTTAGTTGAAATCACCTATCATCTGCCTCTGTGAAGTCTCCCTGCTCTAAGAATGGCATTCAGGCACCAAGAGTTGCAATCTTCAACACTGCTACCTCAGGTCTCTGGCAGACAGACCACATTCTGTTTTTCTTGATATAGTAAGCACACCTGAGAGGCCAGCCCAAGTTGAAACTCCATGTTTTCAACCTATGCTGCTTCCCTCACATGAGTGGAATTATGAACGTTTCATGCATCGTGCCATAAGTGCTCTATCCTAGGATCCCAGAAATAGAGGAAATGGTCAAGCTTGTTTGGTTGTTAGCAGTGTCTTTCCTGCTGAATGTTCCAGAGACAGGGAACCCCTCACTCAAACCTGATATTTTAATTCTCAGGTGTGGTTTAGCATCCCCCACCACAAAGATTGTATTTAGTATGATCAAATAGAGACATTGTTTCTGAAGGCATAGCTAAGAGTTCAAAATCCTTTAAATTATTGATAACTTTGCCCATGTTATTATTTATCTGATTTGTCTTACCCTTGCATTTGTTTAATTAAAATGTTGACACTGATAGCATTCTACAATAAATTGACAATTTATCAAATACCTCCACATATATTAGTGTAGTTGAAGGAAACAGGACTCAAAATCGTTCATGGATACTTGTTTATTTATTTATTCTTTTTATCCTTACCTGATTTCATGAAGATTTCCAGGTGACTGGTTGTCGCCAGCACAAGGTAACTCAAGTGAAGAAAGGTATGACTTGAAGTCAGGGTTTCTGACTCTTTCCTCTGTACTCTGCTTTTCCACTGTACCATCAGACTTGCCAAAGAACATATCTGTGTATATCAAGACCTGCAAATACTTATAGAATTTTTTTAGTATTACTTTTTTAATCTTGCTTACTACATCTGTGAGGTAACTCTCCACTGTGACTCACTGTTATATGTAGAAAATCTGAACCCAACAGAATTCACTGTTTTAACATTTAAAAGTTGACCAAGCTAAGATCTGAGAAGTTTCCAGGGAAGGACTTGGTTAACCCACCCTGCAGTTGATGTTGAGTAGATGACCTGCAGGAAAAAACAACTTTTTTAGGAAAGAGGAAGCAATAATTTCCTAAAACCCATGAGAAATCTGCTAGCTAACTCGATATTAAAGGGATTTGCCTAAATTAACTCCAAGCCATATTGTCAATGAAAGATGTTATAACAGTATCAAAGGATCATATGATAATGAAAATCTAATAGTAACAGCCCACCATACTAGGCCACTTTTTTTTTTCATATTCCAATCCAGAAAATCCTCTAGAAAATCTTTTGCCTGTTAATTCTAGGCCAGTACTTCTTGCATGCCACAGTTTAAGCAAGTTTTCTTGAATCTAAATGCATAACCACTAAGTTATTCCTCCAGAAAGTTTTTTAGCAGAAAACCTATTTCTGCTAAATTCTAAAATTAGCAAAATGAATATCACCTGCCAAATTTTACAGATTAAAATGTTATCTCTGCCATTTATTAAATGCTTTCTTCTTGGGAGATTTTTTCATCTTCTTCTTTCTATGAAGAAATGTCCTGAGGGCTATTATACTCTTGAGCAATGTGAGAAGAGAAGAAGGATGCAACCTGCTTGCATCTGGTCTCTATACCAAGAATTCTTGTGATGACCTGTTGCAATTCAGTTTTGGATGGCATTGGTCAAGAATTGGGTTATAAGTGAGTGTGGTTGAGTATATCTGAAGGAAGTGAATAGCCCTCTTCTGTCTTTAGCCCTGTGCTATTTACCACAGAATCTACCTCTCACAGAGCTGAGTTGGCACTCTTGACCTTGAATACCACCTGATCTCCCCTGCCATCCTTCTGATGAAGACCAGAACTGGGCGTGATCTTGGAGGTGACCTTGAACCTATGAAGCCTCAAAGCTGCTACTTGTGTTAGCTCTTCCTCGGTCACTGAATGACCAAAGAGCCCTAGAATAAAATTCTCTCCCACCTAAATGCTGCAGCTTGTTTTGTACTGTGGAAGAGAAAATGTCTACTGTTCACCATCAAAATAAGTCCTGAGCCTATAACACATATACATGCAAAGTAGGATAATTTAGTAGTAGGTACATCTGTGGAGTTCTGATAATATTTCTAAGGCTCTTCTCTAAATTTTATCCTAGTAGTCTCTCCCCAAGACACACCCAAATACAGACATCTCCTCCATGAAGTCTTTCTTAAACCTCATCCTCCTTCCCCATGCCCCAGCCATCATGGAATGGCTAATGGTGTGTATATGACTTTCCACCTTATGTGGGATATTTGTATACTTGTTTGTTTTCCTCACTGGGTCTTAATGCATGGAGCACATCTTACTTGTTTCCACATTCAACTCAGTGGCACACATCTTTTTGACCTCCAACTGTATGTGAGTCACTTGAGGCTCATAAAGATGAAGAAAACAGGAACCTTACAGATGAAGGAAGAAATGAGTATGGATGAGTAACTCAATATAACTATGAGGTCAAATGTACTATAATAAAAGTGCAGACAAAATAAGGTAGGTGACCAGAGGAGAGGACTGGAGAAATGTCCAAAAAGAATGTTGATTGTACACCAATCAAAATGGCTATTACTAAAAAGTTAAAGAAAAACAGATGTTGGCATGGATACAGGGAAAAGAGAGCACTTATGAGATTGCAAGCTATTTCAACCTCTGTGGAAAACAATATGGAGATTTCACCAAGAACTAAAAATAAGCCTACCATTTGACCCAGCATTCCCACTATGGTATCTACCCAAAGGAAAAGAAATCATTATATTAAAAAGAAAACTGTATTCATGTGCTTATTGTAGCATTATTCCCAATAGCAAAGTCATGGAACCAATCCAAGTGCCCATCAACAATTGACTGGATAAAGAAAATATGGTACATATACACTGTGGAATACTATGAAGCCGTAAAAAAAAAATGAAATCATGTTCATGTAACATGAATGGAGCTGGAGACATCATCCTAAGTGAACTGACTCAGAAACAGAAAACCAAATGCCACATGTTCTCACTTACAAGTGAAAGCTAAATGGTCACAAAGATGGAAATAATAGACACTGGGGACACTAAAAGGGGGGAGGCAGGGAGAGGGGATTAGATTCAGATGTTACCTGTTGGTTACAATGTTCATTTTCTGGGGAATGTGTCCCCTGAAACCCCATCCCTGCTAGTATGCAGCATGACCATGTAGCAAACGTACACTTGTATCCCCAATCTAATATTAAAAAGAAAGAAAGTAAATGGGTAGATAAAATAAGAAGGAGAAGACATTTTTTTTTTTAATTGGAGTCTCACTCGGTCACCCAGACTGGAGTGCAGTGGCCGCTCCCGGCCACCGCAGCCTCGACCTGCTGGGCTCTGGCGATCCTCCCACCTCAGTCTTCCACGTAGCTGGAACTACAGTTGCGGGCTACCACGCCCGGCTAATTTTTTGATTTATTGTAGAACTGAGGTCTCGCCTGCCCAGGCAGGTCTCGAACCCGCGGGTTCAGGCAGTCCACTCACCTCAGCCTCCCAAAGGCACGGGATTACAGGCTGAGCCACCGAGTCCGGCTGAGAAGACATTTTTAGTGGAAAAAAAGCTGCTTCAACATAGGCCCAGAGGCAGAAAAGTTCAGGTCAGATACAAGAGTGGCAACACATTGAGACAGGCTAAATGATAAAAGGTATAGCATGGAAAAAATAAGATGGTATTAGAACAAGGAATACCTTGAAAAATCCAGTGGTTAAACTGCAATCAGTCTTCCAGTGTTACTATTTGTCATACCCACATATTTTATTATACTTGGCAGTTGTGAGGAGGGAGGGCTTAACATTTGCATGGCACCCAGTTTGTCCTGAGCATTGTCTTAAGCACTTCTGTAAATATTACCTAATTTCATTCTCACAAGAACAATTGGCAGTAGACAATTTTATTCCTATTTTACAGTTGAGGACACAGAAGTAAGACAGATTAAGCAACTTTTCACAATCATACAGTGGTGGCATAAAAATTCAAACATTTGTTAACCTAAGTTCTTTTCTCATCCATATCACTTATACAATAGCATCCTACCCCTTGAGGCAATGGTTAAGACAGGATATTGAATACTAAATCATTAACTGTCTCAACATAGTGAGGTAGCTATGAGCACAGGGCTCTGGAGTTGGACTGCCTAGTCTTAAATTCTTGCTCTGTCAAATAATAGCTATGAGACTGAGCGTGTGACAGCTTCTCTGTACCTCAGTTTTCTCATCTTTAAAAAGGACATAGCATGAACTTAGCTCATTGGTTCAATGTAAGCATTAAATTAGTTAGTATGTGCAAAGTGCTTAAATGTGCACCTGGCACAGAGTGAGCACTAAATTCTAACTATTTAAACGTGTGCTGGCCACCTTCCATATCTCAGGCACTGTGTTAGACACCAAACTGGGTTTGCAAGGTAATAGTCTAATTAAAGATTTAGTCTCTACAAAACTTTTTTTTTAAGATTTAACCATTTTATTTCAGATAAAGTTGCAGCAATTTTTGCTAATCATACAAAATAAAGTGTTATATATTTCTACCTAACCCGCATACCTAAATTGTAGTCACCAGTAATGACTACATTTAATTTGCATGTGGTTATTTCATATTTATATACAAATACATGCATATGATTTTGCTTTGTCAGTATCTTTATACTGATCGTAGCAACACTGAAAATCAATGAATATTTCTTATGGAAATTATGTGGAGCCAATGGATAAAATATGGATATATATAAACCAGCAAATGCTAGAGTTAAAAAAGAAACAATTCACATTTAATTGTACTTCAAGTTAAATAAAGATAAACAGGAAAGTCAACAACATGTTACAACTCTTGAGTATTATCTTCAGTTTGGTCGTTAATGTATTTTGCACAATGTTATTTAAGAAATAGACTCTAATACTTTGCATTATGCAAAATTTTTTGTATCCTACCTTTTTTTTAAAAAATCAATATTTTTTATTAAGATATTTTGAGGTACAGTTAAGGGTTAGGTATACAAATATGCTTCATTCAGGTACCCTTGTTGATAAGAGGTGTCTCCCCATCCCCAAAATGTTCACTACCATTAGTCCCATCCCCCTTCCCCTACCCCCCCATAGTTTCCCACCACTGTCAGTCATTTTCTTATGGTATAGTATGTTGCATGATCAAGGTCCACTATATGAGTGAGAACTTGTGATACTCAGATCTTTGTTTTTGTGAGAGGTCACTCAGTATTATATACTCTAGTTCCATCCGAGTTGCTGCAAAATTCATGATTTTGTTCTTTTTATGGCTGCATAGTATTCCACCGTGTATATGTACCACATTTTTTGAATCCAGTCCTCTTTTGATGGACAGCATGGTTGGTTCCAGGTTCTTGCTATTGTGAACAATGCTGCGACAAACATTCGTGTGCAGGTATCTTTTTGATAGAGTGGTTTGAGTTCTTCAGGGTATATTCCCAGTAGGGGGATTGCAGGGTCATATGGGAGATTGATGTTTAGAGCTTTTAGGAATCGCCACACTGCTTTCCACAGAGGTTGCACTAGTTTACACTCCCACAAACAGTGTAGAAGTGTTCCCTTTTTGCCACACCCTCTCCAGCAACTGTTATTTTTTTGTTATTGATAATTGCCATTCTGACTGGAGTTAGGTGATATCTCAGTGTGGTTTCGATTTGCATCTCCCTGATGATTAGTGAGGTTGAACATTTCTTCATGTGTCTGTTGGCTGCTCGGATGTCTTCCTTTGAGAAGTGTCTGTTCATATCTTTTGCCCATTTTATAATGGAGTTGTTTGTTTTTTTCTTTTCAGCACGTTTGAGTTCCTTGTAGATCCAAGATGTTAAGCCTTAATCAGACCTGGAGTTGGCAAATACTTTTTCCCCAGTCTGTAGGCTGTCTCCCTGCTCTCTT